CGTTTTTGCATTTTTTTTTCATGTAAATTGTTACTTATACTCCATACAGTTTATTGCCGACAAAAAAAAAACACTCCTATTCTTGTTTTTACTATCAATTAAAAAAATGGATGATCATGTCGTTTCTTATATTTTGTTAACTAGTGTGCATTATAATTATCTGAAACGGAATGATGAATAAATTAATATGTTAGTTGTGTGTGTTGATTAAAATTGTTAGATCCTGCAATAATTTGACGGTTTTAAAAACAATATGTGTTTGTATTTTGATCCCAAGCAAAAATGTTTAGTATCAATATTACAATATACTATTACTTAAGGACTGTTGAAATGGTCATATATTCCGAATGGTAACGTCGCGTCCCGCATTGAAGAATTGCAAAAATCTATATTTATATATGTGTCTAACAAAAATCAATATTTACTTTTTTTTTTGCTAAATCAAAAATCAATATTTATACATGTGTATAAATATATTTTTGTTGCTTTCTGTCATGCAACACATCTATCCGGCCCGCTCTGCACCGCGCTATCCTCGCTCGGAGCCTATATATCTATATATGGTCCGAATAGAATCACAACGCAACGAAGATTATAGGGATCATGTTAAACTCAAGCAATAACAATTAAAGTTAAGAATTTTGTAATGGAGAAGTGACAGGAAAAAGGTCGCAAGGGTGAAAGAGATCACTCAGCCGCCCATATTGAAGGAGAAGCAAAGACTACTTTAACTAAAAATAGTTATATGATTTATGTAGTTTATTAATCAAGAGATATATAGTTAGTAGTAGTATTAGTATTATTTAATGAAAGGAAGAAAAAGTTAATAAAAAGTTGAAGCTAAACCACGTGCTAGATCTAGACATTTATAAGAAAAGGAACATGAGTTGAAATCCAAAAAGAGCACATGCGTATATGGCTTATTTTAAACAAAATAATAGAATACTTTGCAGCAACTGATGATCTCCGTCGTTGGATTGAAAAAAGAGACGAAGAGATTAGATTGGGTCATAATTATATAATAATACATAAATAATTGGACCTCCCTACGTCACGTCGATGAGGTCACGAAGCCTACGTCATTTATTGAACAGACCACTCCGTTTTCTACGCCCGTTTATTAGGCCGTCCATCTTCTCAGGTGCCGTGCCACATGACTTTTGGTCTCGTCCAACTATTGTCACAAGTTCCATCACTCCCACCCATGTGACTTTCTTTAACAAACCCTAGCTAGAGTAAGTGTGAGAACCAGCGGCGGATTCAAGATATTATTTCACCGGGGGCAAACAATAATTAAAACACAAATAATTCATATTTTTGCATGGAATAAGCAATAACAAAAAAA